CATTTGCATGTCAGCAACAACGTTGCGTGAAATCTGAAACTACAACATGCAATTCCTATCATTCTTTTTCATATGCTGACGCTAATGCGGTGTGCGACGAGATAGTCGTATAACTCTTTGTCTCTCTCTTTCTCTCTCTCTCTTGTGAGAGAGAACCTTTCCTCTTTATCATCTGAGACACAATAGATATTACCTGTAAACGTAAAAAGCGTGTACTCATGTCCGCATATTGCAATCTCATTTATATTCTGCTCTTTCTCTCTCTCTCTCTTTCTCTTTTTCTTTCTTTCTTTCGTTTTTTTTGTCCATTTTACACTCTTTTTAGTAGTAGTTATTTTACACACAACACGGTAGTATTTTTTAATTCAGATGTTTATACGTTATGAGCAATTGCGAAATTAATTAATGTTACGTATACTTGCTACGCATATCTTCCATCTGCGCAATAATAATTACACTACTGATACGGTAATTATACAATAAGCATAAGATTAGAGAAGAGAAGAGATTTCTCGTTTTATTTCCGCGTCTCACGTCTTTGTTCAATATCTTATTTTACTTTACCAGTACTTTCAGAGTAATACTTTCAATGTAAACCCTCCCGAAACGAAACAATTGTCACAAAGAGGCGGCAATAAAACGGCGCTTGACTCTATTGCGAATGTATTGAAATTAAACGAGAATTGAGCACTATTTCTCTTTCGCGGTATAATGCTAGCACAAAGACGGAACGCTTCTTTGCTCTTGGCAATTTATTATGTGAATTACAACATTTGCGCAAACAAACAAATGTTTATTGGAATTTTATTTCCGTAGATTAAGCTTCTCGTTTCTAATACCTTGGATAATTTACTTCAAGCGCAATACGCGCAAGTAACTTTATCGATTATACTTTATCGGTACAGAGTAAAACGTTATTTTCTTATCTGTAAATATGTATTTAAATTTCTACGCTATAAATTTTATTTCGCGCAATATCTCGCGCGGGAAAAAGTTTCCTTTCTACTCTGATTGCGGAAGTAATAACGACTACGCAATTTAACGTAAAATATAATAGTTTCACAAATGATAACGTCACACGATAACGTCGGTTTTCTTCGAACGAGAACTAAATGAGCGCATTTAACGCTAAATGATGTACCACGCGAATACGAACGTGTGCGGTATTTTTTTTTTTTTTGCTTGAACATGTTATTACTTATTTTTATATCCGTCGTGTAGAATCGAGACGAGCGATGTCGTGCCGCTCTTGTCATCGCGCGAACAACTTCCGAGACGATGATCGTGCGAAATAACTCGCGGCAGCAAGTTCATTAACACCAGCGGGTCCGCTCTGTACACTCCGGCTATTATGTATATCGCGTTGTGATACGCGCTAACATACGAAATCGTAACTGGAGCACACACCGGAATTTAATCATCATCGCCGAATTTCATCGAAGATCATCTCGGCATCTCTCTCGTTTTTTTCTTAATTAAAAGCCTTCGTTTTTTTGTTGTAATTTTGTCTTTTCGATTCGAACAAAATGTGTACGTGTAACATTTTGCAAAAACATCGTATGATAATATTTATTAATCTGTCAAAAATTTTTTTGACAAACGTCAAGGGTGAAATGACGCATGGGGTGTGTTTCGCAATTGAATGGAACGGCTTTCCGTTTAAACGGGCACGTTTTGCCAAGCACAATACGGACCGCGCGTCCAATATCGTGGCGACTATTATACCGCGATATCCCGCAATGGGGCACTTTCTAAGACGCAGCTGCTGCACGCAATATGTAACACGTCCCTCGAAGGCAGCACGGTCACACGACAAAAACACAGAATCGCGCAATTTGTCGCTTATTAATATACGTTGTTGATGTCACTTCTTTGTATAAACTCTACTTAAACTATATTTTCTGGCAGTTTTTTATCCTCAGTTTTATACGTGTGTGCGCGTGTGTGAGTTTGAAGAAGAATAATAATAAATGTTACTTTTTGCAATTATGCATTTAGGTGGTACGTACGTTTTTTTTTCGCGTCGACATCGGGATGCGACTGCCGTCACGGGTTTATGCAGATTTTATGATCAATAATCAGTGCTCACAGAAGGGGGTCACATTACGCCCATAATGCGAGTCCGCGCATGCATTATCATAATCTTGAAGGTGACTCTATAACGGCGCGCTTATTGCGAATAATCGCGTTAACTGCGTCGTTGCTCTGTTAGCTAATGCTACTGCTGCTGCTATATTGCTGCGTTGCAGAGTCTCCGTTATCACTTCTCTCAACATTTCGCAGCCGCGAAATATAGTCGTCGTAAATCTCGTCGAGTGAGAGATCTCGAGAAATTGCCGAGGATTCGATCGTCTTGATAAACGCTCGATTATATTGCGTACACGTGTTTCCTGTACGTGTCATATTCTTGTAGGAAGCCAAAAAAAAAAAAATGTAACACATATATATCTCTTAAAAAACACACACATTTCTCCGTTCTCTTGATGTGTGACAATGTATTTATATAATTTAATATACTGGATTACAACGTAAACATTGATGCAGTTTCCAACGTTATTTGTGTGTTTTGTTTCTCGTCGCGAAAACAATGCAAATTGAGAATTTGCTGACGAGATAAATATGCCAAGGTTTTGGTGTAAAACAAACTGGCAAAACTCACAAAAGTAACTAACAATAAAAATATTACATTTCATGTTCCTGTTTCATAATTAATGGATATTCCTGTATATAAAGCACGACATACGCTAAACTATGCGAATGTTTCATCCAAACGCTTTGCCAGTTTTTGCTACTCGGTGCCTCATAACGAACAGAGAAGTCAGATTATTACATTTTATTATTATACGTAAAGAGGTATAATGTATATGTATATATACATCAAGTGAATGTATATTAATGCATTAAAACAAACTTATGTGCGTATTAAAATTTTATATATTTAATTGAAAATTTTTGATCAACAATTATCATGCCCCATTGTATCGTGAATAATGCGCAGCTAAATTTATACGCGCGCGAGTTCTCGATAATATATAAATTTAATAATGTAGAATTTTGCAAATGAGACAAACAAGTCTTTCACATAGAAATAAAAACATGTGTGCATAACATAAACACACAGACACGAACGTGTATATTTTTTAAGACAATTTTATATTACGCGTCACAAACATTTATTGAAAATATATATTTACTTGAAAAGGTATATATTAAATGAAATGTTTACCGCGCATGAAATAATAAACTGTAAACGCGGAGAGAGAAGATATTTTGGAGCACATTTTAATATCAAAACGCTATTTTTAGCGATGGGGTGTTTTTCTATGAAAAATTCGCCGTTTGCGTCGCGTAAAACATTTTCTCCGATATCCTTTCAATTAATCAAACCAGCCTTCTCTTTGTGCACGCGGCCACGTTACAATATTCATACTTCATCCGTCATTCTGAAAGTTTTCCCGGCTGGAGGCATTGAGGAGAGGGAAACGATCCAGTCACGTTGCCAATATCATCGTGACAGTGTGGTGGTCTCGTTTAATTTTTATTCACTAGAAGCGCGGAATACGTGAGAGAGTCGCGGATGATGATATTCGTTCGAAACATCTTTTTTGTAAAACCATCTACTTGTAGAGCATTAATAAGAAATGGATTATACTCATCTCTACCGCGTCACTAAAACAATATTTAATTTTAATTTTGTTAATAATTTTTTTATAATTTTCTTAACAACTTTATAAAGTTCAAATTTTTTTTATCGGTAATCGCCAACAATCTAACATATTTCTTAAAATAAATGTTAGAAGTATTAAATTTTAATCATGCAGCAACGTGTGCATGCGTATGTGTTTCTATATGTGTGTTTGTGTTGGTAACGAATGTGGAATAATTTACCTCATGAAAAGTAATGAGAGAATGTCAAAGGTTATGGCAACACGATATACATATATGTAACGAACTCGCGTTCGTTGAGCTTCTTCAATTTCTTTTCAAAGCAAACAAATAAATCGCGTCCGAGTTTACCATCATCTTAAGATTTAATCATTTTTATGAAAAAAGAGAGATGAGAAACATATATATGTATGTATAAAAAAAAGAGAGAGAAAGAGTTTCTGCAATAAGAGGTACATAGTAAACTTGGGGTTTGCTGTAGCTAAACGTGAAAAGAGTACGAGAAAAGAATAGACGAAATAAAAAGCGAACGACACAAACATCTAGAACATAATCGATTCTTTCGAGACGCGAACTACATATTAGCAGTCAGCGAACATGTTTTCCCCGCGAACGTGCGCGCCGCGAATCGTTCGAGCGCTTTTCAAAATCAATTTCGGAAATATTATTGAATTTCGAATATGTGTGTTGCGATACCAACATCTCGCTCAAATTGATCAGCTTACGTTAGTATCTGTGCTCCGTGTAAACCGCACATTGAATTTCATGTTTCAAAGCTGAAAATATATATCGTTGCTGAATTGCAAATGTTTAAGCAGTGTTTATACGCAATAATTAACGTAGTAATAACTCTTTTCTAAATATTAACTTATCTTTTTCTTTTTTTCTTTAAAATTATGTTCAAATTACTCTCTTGTTTGTTTAAAATTTTTTGCCTACGCAAACAAAAAACTTCTGTCGAACAAGAATCGAGGTTTTGTATTTTCTTTATATTAATAACAAAGATAAGCGCTGCTCGAACAATTCGATTAAAAACCGCTGCATCATCAAATCGACAGATAAAAAAAAAACTAACAATTCGATCGACAACTTTTTTTATTTGGCGCGAATTACACGAAAGCTACAGACGTTCCTCGCCAGAGAAAGTGGAGTACATATCGCAAAGCATGTGAAAAAAAACTTTTACCTTTTGATTTCCCGCGATTTTATTTGTGATTGACAGATCAAATCGCGGAAAATTTTTTTATTTGTATCTGTCATTAGACCTGAGGTTTCTCAAGATTTCTCACTGACACATCCCTTCGTTCAGTCATTCCCTTTTATAACTAACTCACTCTTATGCTTCGAGCTGCTCTTCCACAAACCCCTGAAGAACGACATCCTGGCCCAACGCAGCACCAGCAATTCCAGCAACTCCGTGATCTTCTCCCTCGTCACAATCTGCCAGCTCGCCAGCTTTCTTCCCTCGCAAGACTCGCTCTCTCACTCTCACACAAACAAAGTTTCAATACCAAGTCCCGCGCAACGTCCAAACCATGTGAATTCGAATTCAAATTCGAGCTGTGATTGTAAAAGGTCACCGTGATCGCGACAACCTTTCACCTGGTTTAGACGTGTTTCCGTTTAAGCGATGGTTATAACGAGCCACAAGAGTCGCGGATCAAAGGAAATCGGCGGACAACAGCTGGCTGTCAAAATCACGAAATCTCTTCTTCGCCGAAAATACAAAAACGTGTTGCCACGGTGGCAGCGCGCCACGATATGAAGCGTCCGGAACGCTTTGTAGCGGCGCTTCGCCCTCGCGAGCGAACATGCGCATCTCCGTCGTCCGTTCTCATCTCCCGCGTCGCTCTCTCTCTCTCTCTCTCTCTCTCTCTCTCTTTCTCTCTCTCTCTCTCTCTCTGTCTTTCTCTCTCTTCTCTCCCACCGCCCACCCGGATTCCGGTTCCGCTTCCGAACCGGATCCCGTCGAAAGGATAAAGATTATTTTCACACGTTTTGCGGCGCGAACTTGCGAGATCGGAATTTTAGGTGAGAATATGTAGGAAGAGAGAAATCGCGAATCTGGAAATGTCTCGCTAAGTTTCACAATAAAAGTAAAGACTGAAGATGAGAAGAAGGAGGTAGATTTATAAAAAGTTCGTGCATAAAGTTTGCATTGATGAAGACAAGCGTGAAAATCGTGTATATGCGCGTGTATAATATTCGTGTCTTGAAAGTCTGAGACATATGTAAAAAGTAAAATATTTTACAAGTCGCATATCGATATAAAAAGCAAAAAAATAAAGAATATTTTACAACATCGCAAATCACTCTGCAAATCAGAATTTGGAACAATTTCTATAGATAGATATTAAAGTATATTATTAAGTCATGTTTATAGAGGTCGAGATTATATTAAGGATCGCGTTGACATTACCGACGTCAAATAGGCTTTCCGAGTTAGTAATTTAGTATTCATCTCGGTCGGCGACATAGTTGCCAAGAAATTGATGCGTCGCTCGCACATCTTCTTGAAACACGAAATGAGGGTCTCGCCATCTAATTTCATGGGATATGCCTACCCCTAACTTGTGGGTGCCAAACTTCGTCGGATAATCTCATTGCAGATAACGATCGCCTTAGTCGATTTAAGGTGTCTACTGTTTTGGCGTTTCCGCGCAAATTTTAATGCAAATAATTCAAGCGTCGCGAGAGAAAAATTACGAGAATTTTTAAAACAAAGTACAAGAACCGTTCCTTAGTTTAAATTTTGACAAAAAATTAATTACTCCCAACTGTTTTACAATTAATTGAAATATTACATTTTGTAAATGCAAAAGTATATGCAAAAAACGCGAAAAAGGAAAGACCAATAGAAGCACGAAATACGGCTGATTGTGTGTTGCAGTTCTTTTAGTATGTATTCAGAGAGTTTGCAAACGTTTTGACCGAGAGAGGAGTAATATAATGTGTAAAGAAAGTCAGATTTAATATACTTTAATATTTATTATTTATAATTTTAAACTCTGATTTGCAGAGCGATCTGCAATATTAAAATATTCTCTATTTGTTCGCTTTTTATACCTGTATGTGTCTTTTTAATTCTAAATTTTTAACAAATTAAGTCGATCTGCAATTGCGCAGAAATATCAAACAATATTAAAAAATTACATTTCCGTTGCTCAGATCAAAAATGTTGATTGAGGATATTAGTCTGTTAGTCAAGTATATAAAAAATGGTAAATAATACATCTTTAGAGAGATTAAACACAAAATTTTCTCGCTAATTATCTCCTCCGATTATTAGCGATAAATTCAGATATCTCTTAAATTGCCGAAAATTCGAATATAAATCACCGGGTTTCGCGCGTTCTGTAAATTTTCCTTCGTAGTCGAAAACCTTCATTTGACCTAAAGTTATCGAACATTCGCGCTCGAATTGCAGTTACGGATTCGAAAATCTCGATCAAACCCCGAAAATTTATCAGGTGTTCCCGTACCGTGCCAGTAGAAAATACGAGGAGCCCAGAGATCGTCTCGATTATCGGAGGTCGTTACGCGTTCGTTAGCGCGCGATTGACTTTAGACGACGGCGGCGGCGGCTCGAATCGATTTCACATGCGCTCGGTGAAATTGCCAATCAATCGAGAGGAACCGATGAAAACAACTGTCCTCCCGCTCTAGGTAAATTACCCGCATCCATCAGTCGCATCGGATTACGGATTGAACTAACGCATCAGTGAAAATAGATCGTCACGAGATAATCGTACGCTAGATGAAACGTTAGTGTAAAAGCGGAGAAAGAAGGAAAAGAGAGAACAAGATTTATTTATCTTTCCGGATTCAGCATCGGTGAAACTTCGATGAAAAACCGTGTACATACAAACTAAGTAATAAAACAGAGAAAATATAAAAATACCAAAGACAAGTTATTTAAAAAAAATAAAATATATTATAGAGTCGAAAGAAAAGTAAATACATAATTTAGGGGAGACTGTATAAAAAGTAAACATATTGAACAAGAAACTTTAAGACACTTCTTCGAGAGGCGATTAGTTGTCGGAATCGACAGAATTGGCGCGCGACGGGGGTATAAAAATTTGCGACATGAAAAAAACTTCGCAGTGGGAGTAAGCGAAGACCACGAACAAGATGATTGACGAGAGAAACTGGCACGACGTTCTTCGTGGAGCCCCGAGTTGCGAGTTTTTATACGTCTGGCTTAACAGACGTGTCACAAAACTTGAACCTCGCTTGAATATCTTTTTTCTTCTCATTTTTACTCAATCGATTTCTTCTCTTTGTTAGGCACTGCGTAGTAAAATATCAGCGTAATTTGTCTCGGATCTTGATAAGCAACGAGTGAAAATTTTTAAGTGAAACGACTTTTCTCGACATTTTTATCAAAATTCCGACTGGAAAATTCACCGGTGATACAAATACGTCTGGAACAGAAAAAAGTAACCCGCGCTAAAATTAATTATACCGTCGAGGCATATTTAAAATTCAAACGAGATCCATAATTATCCAACCGATTAGACAATATGCGAAAAATATCAAAAATGTGAAAAACCGGCGAGGACAAAATCCTAAAGTGGAATCGCGAATATTTTTCATTAAAGCGAGCTTACGACAACGAAGCTCTCGGTATAAGGTTCGCAAAAAATATCTGTGCTTGCATGCAAAAGTGACACGCAGCTATATACCGTAATCTTTACACACTTTACATACTTTTTTGTTATTTTGTTCCGATCGTCAATCGTATTCTTTATTATTTCACATCTTTTGCAAAGCGACTGACAAACATTCTCGGTTTGACAATACTCGTCGAGCGTGCTTTATGAAAATTCGATAACGTTTCTCGCGACTTCACTATATAGAGCAACTCTGATATATGAGAATTTACTGAAAACTTAATTTATCAAATAATATTTACAATGTCAAACACAAATGTAAAACACATTATGCATCACTTTTACATATTGTTAAACTGTTCATAAAGCTTGTAGTAGTCATTTTACGTATCCGTCAAATATAGTTGCGCCCCACATTATAATATAAAGTAAGTATTTAATAAGTATTTAAATTTAATATGTAAAACTGAGAACTAATAATTATTTCTTCAATAAAAATCGGGCCATTGGCATGTCCAATCATAGAGACAATTATTTGATTTTCTTCCACATTTTTGTCAAACTTGATACATTCCGAAATTCAGATAGACATTATCTACAGATAATTATCAATCATGTTCTGCTTTCTTCGCACGAATCAGTCGCTATTCCACTTCGCGTCGCAATGACACATCTGACGTTATCGGATCCTCGTTAGGCACTCCTGTCAAGCATATATTGCGTGATACACGCATATTGTGTGCGCGACTCACACGTGCGGTTTGATACGCGTAGCGCACGGTCATCAGTCGTGTGCAGTACGAATTCCATTAAGCACGATTATGCGGCATTAATGCGTGACCCGGGTTCACTCTGTAATTTCGAGTAGCTTCCCTTAAACGGATTGTTGCGTAATATCTTGCGCAGACAGACGATTGCGGAAACGTATTTTAATACGACGTGAGTGGAATGCGCCCGTTGTTACGCGAATCAAACTGTAAAGCACGTATTAGGCAATCCAAAATTCGTGTATACGACATCCGATATTACCGTACAATTTAGATGTAATTAGAAATGATGTAATATTTAGATATAGATTAGACACACGAGATGTGTATTTTACAGACTTGGATCAATCGGTACACTTGTAAAATTTATTTCAACTGGAAAGCGTGACGTATCTGAAGCGACAATAATAGTTGGAAAACATTTTTGCAAATTATTAAAATCAATCTATTCTAATTTCGAAAATTCCTTATTTATCATTCTATTTTCCACTTGCAGAGAGAGCATAGCATTTGACGCTCCAGTTACAATTTAAGATATCGATCTATATATTGCAAAGTTCATATCTCCCGATAACGCGTTCACAATATTATCGTGTGACAAAGATACAGTGCACTCGAAAACCGACTACAATCAACAGAGTATTGTCTATATTGTTATCACAATTAATATTGTAAATATATCTCATTACAGACGATTTGCGCAGATAAATCGTAATATATATATGTGTTTCGACGATAACGCGTTGAAAACCGACAGATTCACTTGGACGCGCAGTTGCTCGAGTGATATCAGTGAAGATGCATCTTTGGGAAAAAAAAGCGCAATCAGCAGAAAGCGTGACTCGGAAAGTATTTTAATGAAGCGCAATTTCGCGCGATAAGCACATCTCGGCTCGAAACGTCACTCGGATTTTTATTCAACTTGCGGTTGCAACAAAAAAAAAAAAGTGCACATCATCGTATCGCTAATTGAATGCTCGTTTGAAAACTCTTTTAGCGCGCGCGACACAAGAAATATTCTCGGACTTATCAAGATTGCAAATAACGTTTTGTCGGTTGATTATAACGTTGGATAACTCAATCGCGATTCCGTTAGTCGGATATATAATGTGTGACCGAGCATTATCATTGCGTAAGAAATAGCGCTAAATCACTGTCAGGTACAGATCGATACAGAGCGAAGTCGAAGGACAGTTCGACACGTAACAGTATGATCGATTCTCGGAAATAACACAATAGTCTGCGATTTCGAACTTCTGGATGCGTATATATTATATTGTACTTCGAACGTGAGTTGCCAATAGCAAACAATATAAGTAAAAACCGTAAAATTTTCTTTTATAAAAGTAATTTTTACAAAAGTTCTCACGAAAGAGATTTACATAAACGTAT